TTCTAGATGAACGGCTACCGGAGAAAGATCAAAGATGCTACAGAAAAAATGATGGCTCTTGTTGCTGAGCTGTCCATGAAACAAGCTCTGGCCATTGAACTTCAAAAGGAAGTCAAGGATAAGGAAGAGTTCATCTTCTCCTGCAATTCCAGGATAGAAAAGGGTCTGCCACTCAATAAAGACATTGAAAGAGAATGGTTGAAGGTCCTTCGAGATGAAGAAATGTATGCCTTGGCCATTGCTGAAAAATCTCGGGTAAGCTTTGTCTTCTATATTGCATTTGCCCAGTGTGGCAGGAAGGGCTGTTTTCAGGAATTTCAGTCTTCCCTAAATACGTGAAATATTTCCCACTGTAGCACATACCTAGTTCCGCCAATCAATAGAAAGTTTTGTTTTTTTAAGATATGATGTAGGCGATAAGTCAAAATAATATCCCAAGAGCCATAATATTCTCCAGAAAACACTCAAGCATCAAGTCCACATCCTGGGCTTGTGTGGCCGAACACCATGGAACCCCACTGGCAGGACAGTGGCCAGGCTGGCCCTGGTTTTATCCATAGGGCTTCATGTCCTTGAACCCCTGCTCAGACCACACCTTACTCTCCCACGTCTGGCCACTGGGGCCACCACAGCATATTGGGAAGGTTGCCACAGCCTTCTGCAGACTCTGCACTTGGTGTGTGTCACAGGCTTCAAGGCCTCAGCATTCTTCTCCAGCCAGTGACCTGAATCTAGGTCTATCAATGGACCTACACATCAGGTGCTGAGTTCTGCCTACTCCCACCATGACCTTCTAATATTCTTAAAATGGCTTTAGGGATCTCTTTCTAAGAAGACTACATCCTGTGCACCTCCTCTCAGGCTGTCAAGTAGACACTCCCCATCCCAAGAATACATGCCTTCCAAACACATACTAGGAATGCCTGAAAGTAGGGTCAGATTTGTAATTTCCACACTGCTTGGGACTCTATTTTTAAGGACATTCATATTTTACCTATGGTGTCTCTCCATTATTTAGAGTTCTTTTTTAATCCTATAAGAAATTTCTCTATTCTCCAGAAGCACAGGCAGAATCTTGAGGACCCTGAGGTTCAAAGCAAGCTGCTGACCACTTCTGTCCTCGGGTTCTACTTCACTGCTTATTTTCCCTTTTGTAACATTTGCTCACCAGTGACTTACTCCAGCCTTTTTCAAAACCATGGAAATAATTAATACATAATGAAAGATATTGAGCTGGAATACAGTGAGTTTAGGACCCACAAACCAGTTTATGATAAGCCTTAAACCCCAGGAACAGAGTGATGCTTGGGTAACATGGGTCATTCCAATGAGATGGGGTGTGTGTGTGTGTGTGTGTGTGTGTGCGCGCGCGCGCGTGCACTTAGTGACTCCACCCTCATACCCATCTGTCCTTTTGGGGAAATATCAGCCAACACAACCTAAGACTGCTCAGACCCAGCTGTGTCTGCTAGGCCCTGAGAATGAAGTGGCTTCACTGTAGTTTTCAGGAAACTAAAAAGAAAAAATCATTCTTTGCAGGAGTTCTCAGTGGCAGAAACTCGCCAGCTGCCCAACGGTGTTTACACAACTGCAGAGCCACGTCCAAATGCCTACATCCCAGAGGCAGAGGGCACTCTTCCCTTGCCAAAACCATATGGTGCTTTGGCTCCGTTTAAGCCCAGTGAACCCGGGGCTAATATGAGGCACATAAGGAAACCCGTTATAAAGCCAATTGAAATCTGAATATGTGAACCAATCCAGGCTTCTAAACGAGACACGTCAATCAGGCTTCTTCATATCCACAGCTGGAAAATATCAGCATAATAGTTCTAACTTACAAATAAGGTATCCACAACTTGTCAACAATGGAGAACAACATGGCTTCCTTTCACACTCAACTACTGTATTTTATATGAATTGTCCTACAGTTATGGCAAGGGATATATCTGTAGTGAGTGTTCATTTTTTTCTTTTTCACTGTATATTTTGACTATCTTTCAGATAGTCAGCATCTTTCCAGGTGCTATAAAAATGCAAGAAAAATAAATCAATTTTTCAGTGAAGTACAGAAATTGGCAGAGTGGTCTTTATTAAAGAAGAAAAAAATGGGATGCCAGGGTGCCTCAGTCGGTAAAGTGTCCAGCTTTCGGCTCAGGTCACAATCTCAGAGTCCATGGCTTCAAGCCCCACATCGGGCTCTGTGCTGACCGCTCAGAGCCTGGAGCCTGCTTCAGATTCTGTGTCTCCCTTGCTCTCCACCCCTCCCCCACCTGCACTCTGTTTCTCTTTCTCTCTTTCTCTCAAAAATAAACATTAAGAAAATTTAAAGAAGAAGAAAAACAAATACTATTCCATATATTCACTTGAAAGGGAAAGACAGAATGCTTGTTTGAAAAGGAAAATATCCCAAGTAACACAGGGGTATCATTCACTTTGTTAAATAGTTGCATTTGAAGTTAATGTTGGTAAATGTAAATCAAGTAAAAAGCAGTAAAGAGGCTTGTCCTTTTAAAAGTAATACTATGGTAATTCTTTTTTTAAAAGTTTTTAAAAAAATGTTTTATTTATTTTTGAGAGAGAGATAGAGACAGTGTGAGCATGGGAGGGTCAGAGAGAGAGTGGGACACAGAATCTGAAGCAGGCTCCAGGCTCTGAGCTGTCAGCACAGAGACCGATGCAGGGCTCGAACCCAGGAATCATGAGATCATGACGTGAGCTGATGTCGGACATTTAACCGACTGAGCCACCCAGGCGCCCCGGGAATTCTTTTTTACAAGTAAAGAATCCTTTTGCTACAAAAATTTATTTTATAAATCTAGATTTTTTTTACAATGTTATATACAAATAAACCTGTGATTATTTTAAGTTCCAACTCCAGATTTTTAAAAATTCCAGTGAAAACACTTACAGCTTTGCATGTGACAGAGTTGAAACTCCAACTTATTTCATTACTCTAATTTTATTGTATTTTGCCTATGTATATTTTCCTAATTCTGTTTATATACCTTCTCACATATGAAAATACACAAGTAAATCTGAAAACTGATTTTACTTCATTCATATGTTCAAGCTGTATTTCATATTGGTATCAGGTATGGATTTTGTGTCATAATTCTGGGAGTAAGAAATACCACCTTTTCCTCTCCTCTCCTCTCCCCTCCTCCTCTCTTTTCTCTTTTCCTTCCTTCCTTCTCTATCTCCCTCTCCCTCCCTCTCTCCTTCCTTTCTTTCTTATTTGGCTAAATCAAACAAAATCTTTTGCAAACCCACATCCTGCCAGACTTGAAGGAAATTTAATCTCATTCTTAGCCTTCAAGTCAGTCCTGAATCTAACTGCATTGTTTTGTAAAGTTATTAAGAAGTAAAGTGCGTATGATAAGTAACACTGTGTGGTTAATACAAAGAAATACTATATACTTAAACACAACTCCTGTGTTGTAGGAATTAGTAATCACACTAGGGATCCAAAAAATATACATGTAAGAACAACATAAGAATGGAAATGTAATTGGTAACACAAAGGGATGGATGTTTAAATATCACAGGTGTGTTACTGGTTCAGAGGGGGGAAGGGGTCACCGTGTGCTGGAATGGCCAGGCCAGGGGTCACAGTCAGATGGAACTTTTTATCTGGCCCTTCAACATATATAAAATTTTAGTAAGTGGGGAGGGAATTCCAGGTGGGGGAAATAGCGTAAGCAAGGCTTGTAAGTAAGAAGACAAAAGCTGTATTCAAGGCTCGGAGAACTGGCCTGGCTAGAACAGCATGTTCACGTTGGGGAATTGTGTAAGAGCCACAAGTAGTTTGGATCCTATCCTGTAACAAATGGCAAATCATTGAAAGGCGGTGAGCAGGAGCAGTTTCAATGTAAGTCAGATGAATCAGACTTTAGGAAGATACCACAACAACACTGGTGTGAAAAAGAAAAGGGTAGGGAGTGAAAACCAATGACCTTCTCAAGAGAAAAAACGTCTAACATGCTGACAGGGCTCCCAGATTTGGAGCCTCTGTGATAATTAAATATTTGACCAAAAAGGGAAATTCTGTAGCAGAGGACAGTATTTGGAACACAACTATGATTTCAGAAAAGAAGTTGAATTATGACACCAGCTAGTGATAATTATAATCATTAAAATTTCACAAGAAACATGGTGAAGAGAAAAAAACAAAGGGCACAGGCTGCAAGCAACTATCATTATAGATCAGAACATAGTCACTGTAAAAGATGGGGGAAAAATCAGAAAAATAGGAGAACTAGTTAGGTGTCGTGGGGACCTCTGAGGGAACATGCTCATGGACTCATGATTCCTGGCTGGGATAAAAAGGCTATGTTCAGAAAATGAGAGAGGCCAAAACCCTCAGTGTCTCTTATTTTAATGGCAAGATATTACTAAATCAAACTTTTATAAATACAAAAAACTTTGACATTAAATACAGTTCCATCTGAACCATTACAAAAACAAATCCTACTCTAAATCCTGTATGTACATACTGCCTTATGTTACAAATTATTCTATTCTCGAAATAGCGGATTTGACCTGGTCCAAATCCAGTTATTTAAAAAGTATCCTCTTTCCAAATACAGTTCTTATATAACATTTAAATTTTCCGCTGCTCCTATGTTATTTTCAAGGATACTTCTAGTTTCTGTTTTTCTACCCAATGTTTGCTACATTTTTTAAAGCATATTTTATTTCAGAGCACAACAGAAACTAGCTTTTGGTCTAGGAAGTCACTTGGAAGGTAAGCCAGTAGGGAAGAGCATCAGCGATGACAATGTGTGCCTCCCGGGACTGTCAGTCATGCTCCCACATGTGACCACTTGTCTGCTGTTCAAACCTGGGATGAGGAACAGCAGTTTGGTTCTGTCTGAACAAGTTCCAGACTGAAAGTCAGACGGCTCGATGGTGTATTCTGATTTTGGTTACCAATTTTAAGTGTTGGATTTTAAATATTGGTAAGGGATTCTTGACAGAGATCAAGCTAATGAGCAAGATTAAAATATTGAAGGTGTGTATTTTATTTAATATTGGATTAAAATATTGGAGGCATTTTCTCTTTTATAAACCTAAAAGCATCATGGTGTGTTTCAGAGCTGCTTCCTCTACAAATTTTGCATCCACATTGTCATGTCCTTCAAAAGCATACAGAGCTGGAAAAAAAAAAAAGAGAAAGAGAGAGAAAAGAGTTACTACGAAACCATGGAAGTTATATAACATTGTGCCCGCAGCTCATTGGAATTGTAATTACTTCATATTTTGGTAAAACACATTATTCTGAAAATGTGTGGTTAAAATTTATCAAACCTCAGCCCCAAGAAAGGTCATTTGCAGCAACCAAATGGGTTTTGAATCTCCTAAATCCTTTTAAAACCTCAAACGTGAGTATTCCTTTGGAAATTTACTCTAAGAACTATATTGTACACATTACTAACTGAGACCAACTGCAGTAAGGACTACTTATAAGTAAGGGGTATTCTGGAAAGAAAAGGTTACACAGAAATGAATAGGGACTGTGTGTGTCAAGAGAAAAACAGGAAAACACTGAGAGTGAAGGAGTGAAATTACCTTGATTGGAGGATTCTATATCTGTCAGTATTTCAATAAAGTAGTTCAGAGGCAGAAAATCCACACTGAATGATGACTTGTCAATCATAGAACTGGGGGGCTAAAAGGGAAACCACGTCTGGTATCAGCTGAATCTCCCCAAAGAGCACAAACTCACAAAAAGGGCGAAGAATGACAATTGCTGCCTGTATGGATACGCTGCAGTGGGCTGTTAGTGGGGCTGTGCTTTCTCATGGACTCACCTTTTTCTTATAGTTCTGCAGCAGTCTCTTCACGTGGTTCCGGGAAATAATGTTAGAACTCATAGGATGATCCCAAAGTCGACAGATCTTCTGACCAATAAGCTTTTATGCAAATTGAAAAATACGTAGAAGGGGATTTATAGGGCAGTGAAAACATTCTGTTTGATACTATAATGATAGACCCAGGGCATCATACATTTGTCCAAACTCATAGAGTGAACAACACTAAGAGTGAACCCTAATGTTAACTATGGACTTGGGGTGATTGTGGTGTGTCAGTGTAGGATCATCAGGTGTAACAAATGGACCCCTCTGGTGGGGGATGTTGATAATTAGGAAGGCTATGTGCATGTAAGAGCAGGAGGCATACAAGGGATCTCTGTACCTTTCACTCATTTTTCCTGTGGACCTAAAACTACTCAAAAAAATTAAGTCAATAATAACAATAAAGGAATGGAAAAAACAGAGAGGAGAATACAGCTTACACTGCATTAAGTAAATGTACCCTGTATCTATTTATAATTTAAAAAGGATTATTCAGAAGTAACTAGTCTAGGGAGCCTGGGTGGCTTAGTTGGTTAAGCATCCAAATTCGGCTCAGGTCTGATCTCACAGTTCATGGGTTTGAGTCCCATGTCAAGCTCTGTGCTGACAGCTTAGAGCCTGGAGTCTGCTTTGGATTCTGTGTCTCCCTCTCTCTCCTCCCCTCCTCTCCTCCTGCTATCTGTCTCTCAAAAATAAATAAACATTTAAAAATTTGAAAAAAAAAATTTTAAGTAACTAGTCTAAAAGAGAGGCCCTTTATGATTAATGGCCCTTGAAGAAAGGCCATTTCCTGTGAGGTGTGCTTCCGAATTCTGAACAAATACTCCCTTAAATGCAACCCTCAGGAAAGTAGCTTCTACACTGATGTTGCCAAATTCTGTTTCTGAGATGGAGTTCATCTGGTACTCTTCAAAATCGGGTACCTGCAACTCTAAGTGATATCTTGATAGGAAATAAAAGTTTGTAGCCATGTTCTCTACCAATGTCTTGCTCAGAAAAATTTAATTCCCTAAGAGTTTGAGCTAAGACAAAATTTTTAAAAAAAATCAAATTTAGAGACCGAACTAAATGTTCAGAGACTTTCCCCAGAGAGATCTAGCCATGGAAAGTATGCTTTGTTTTCTACCCTTGCCTTTGCTTCAGTAAGATGTGAGGAGGAAAGGGTATTACAAAGGAAGATGATTAGGTCTAGAAAGGCAACGGACATCCCTTTGTGGGAGGATCGTGCCAGAGATGGGAGTGTTCAAGGTATGTAAACAGAGCGGAGAGCGGGCCAAGGCTCTCGGGGTCAGGAAGGTTCTGGAGTCCAGGGCTCTGAAGACCTTGCTGTGGAATTTCATATTTTCTTAGTATTTCTGACTCAGAGAGCTAATATCCCCCATAAAAGTAAAGAGTGTCTGAAAAACCCTTTCTCTCATGTTTCTCGTTCTTCCTTCAACCTGGGAATGTTTTCCTGCGGTAGAGGAAATGACAGTGAGAGGAAATGCAGTTCCAGAACCCCTGACCTCACCTGAATTTAAATTTCTTATCAGTTTAAATGCCAAAAGCACATGTTTCCCCTGTCCCTCCCCTCAGACTCATAGATGTAAATATTAGTGTGGTTTCCTAAGAGCGAAAAATGGCTCAGTGCTTCAGGCAGGCTGTGCCAGGCAGTACAAAGCCAGAGGAACGAGCCCTTTGTGGGCGCAGCGGGGAACGGCTGACGGGGGTGGGGGTAGATGGGATTTCTTGGAAAGGACTGAAAAGTGAAACAATTCAGTTGACTTCAGCCCAAAACAAGTAAATGCTCTTTTTACAAGAAGAGACTGAAGGACATTCATACCAAGGCTTATGGAGAGAATAAAATATAATTCAGGATTACCGGGGGAAGCCGCACAATGATGCTGAATTTTAGTCTTTCATTTTTCTCTGTATTGTCCAGATCTACAAGAAAGGTAGATTGGCAAATAAAACAAACCTCCACTTTAATATCTGAGCAAGCTAAATACTAGTTTAATGGTTTATTCTGACAACACACATCCCAACCTTGTGTTCTCACGGTGTCTAATAGTACCTTGAACATTTCTGTTTGTGTCTCTGAATAAAAGGGCTTTGTTTTTATTGACGCTGTTTCTCTATGGCACAAAACCTGGTTTTGTAACAGGCTGCCAGCCACAAAACCATTTTACTAACCTAAAACAGAAGGCACCTTGAGGAATGGCAAACACTTTAGCACACATTAACAAAACTCATCTATAAAATACCACAATGAATAATTTCAGCAAGTGATCATCCAGAGGCTGTCAAGTTCCAATTCACGTTAAGTGCTCCATCTCTCAACTTTTCTTGCGTTTCAAGGCTAAGTCTGAGACGACAGAGTTAATCAGCTGAAAGTAAGCCATTTCATGACATTTTCTCCAGAAACAAGCCTTCAGAGTCCCCTATCCTCAAGTGCCCTCATGTACAGAGAAGGAATGTAATAGCTGTGAGTGGATCGGGAAGCCCTTTGGGGCCTCTTGCAGGTCAAAGGCACTTTAAACTACCCCAAGGGCTGGCTACAGGAAATGAACAGGGCAAAATGCATATTATGTGGCATCCACTGCAAATGGCCAACGAGGATCCCCTTGTTCCGTTACTAAGAATTTCAAGACTTAATGCAGAGCATTCAGCAGGGCACGGGGCCCTCCTGAGCACAGCGGGGCCCCGTGTGACCCCCACAGGCTCACACCCGCAAAACCAGCTTAACGGCGCATGGCCCAGAGCTGGCCCTCTGGCAAACTCAGAGCCTCATACCTTTCATGAGCCTTGTGACAGCTGTTTCGGTGAGAAGCAACACTCCGCTGTCAATGTAATGCAGCAGGTTGTGCAAAGGGAGACAGTGGACGCCCAGGATCGTGTGCAGAGTGTGAAAACCTAGTAGAGAGATCAGGAGGGTAAACACGGCTGGCCAGCCTTCCAGAGGGAAGGAATTCGGTGATGTGGATAAAGCACTTAGCTCGATGCCTTGGCACCAAGAGTCAAATAAATGCTGCTAGAAGACAAGGTCCAAGTTTCCTTCTTTGTGTTATCACGACCAAGTAGCGCGCTAGGTACATAGTAAGCTCCCAACAAGAATGTACTTCCTTTGCCTTTCGTCCCTTCCTAGACAAAGAGACAAAATGCAAGGCCTGCCCAATGAAAATTAGTTTTACAGTTTAATAGGTTGGTGATTCTATAGCAAGATGGCAAAAGAGAACAATTAACAGAAGAGCTTTAAATCCCATATGGCCAGGCTAAAAGGCTGATCGATGGGGACCACTTTGCTGAAGAGGAAACATTTTGGACTAGAAGGGGACAGTCTATAAGCCTGAACTCTGGGTATGCCCTAAAGAAAGGCTTTTGGGGTCTACTTGAAGTAAATTATGAAAAAGAAAAAAGTAAATAATATGAGCAGATAGCAGGTCTATAGGAATTCAATAGACAGGAAGGCCCACCCTCATGCCTAAGTCTTGTGGGGAGGTTCAATTCTTCACTCACAAACCTAGAGCTCTAAGTACACTGTTAATAATACACAATAAAAACAGGAGTGCCTGGTGGCTCAGTCGATGAAGCATCTGACTCTTGGTTTTAGCTCAGGTCATGATCTCATGGCTTGTGAGTTTGAGCCCCGCATCGGGCTTTACGCTGACAGCACTGAGCCTGCTCAAGATCCTCTCTCTCCCTATGTCTCTGCCCCTCTCCCATTCACACTGTCTCTGTCTCTCTCAAAATAAATAAATAAACTTATTGAAAATAATAATAACAATAAAAACAACATCCATGAGAAAAGATATCACTCCAGCAGATAATCAGAAAAGCCCTCTTGAAAAAGACAGCACAGGAGGGGACCTATGAAGGGTAAATGCAATTCCTCTGTGTAGAAGTGAGGCCAGAGAACATACAGAAGAGTGGAGACAGTAAAAAAAAAAAAAAAAAAAAAAGCCAGGTTTGTCACGAGCAGACCAACGCTGGAATCCTGCTGTGTTGCCTACTGACCATAGGTAATTAAGCCCCTATGAGCTTGTTTCTTCATCCCTAAAATGGAGCCACTAGTACCCTTCCCATTGGGTGGCTTTGAGAACGAGAGCAAAGTCTATGAAGAGTAGGGACGCAGTAGAACGACAGTGACTGGTAACACGTACATACTGAAGCCGTCAGTCTAGGCACTGACCAACTTGATACTCATACAACACTATTAGGTGGGAACTACCTGATTCCCATTTTATAAATGGGGAAACCAAGATTCAGCTAAGAATGAAGTAAGATCCTTGTTGCCCAGGATCATACAGTAAGTGGCAGAGCTCAATTTGAAGCTAGGCTATGGGATTTTAACCCATAACATTACCCTGGACTAGTAACTGGCTGCTGGGTTAATGGGACAATATGAACAAAGGCCCAAAGGTGAGAAAGTATGAGGCATGTTCAGAAAGTATTAAATGACCCAGCTGAGTTGCCATCAGGTGTACGTGAGGAACGGTAGGAGGTAAGGCTGGAATGGTTATTTAACAAATCCCTTCCAGATACCACGCAAGGACCTGGGTGCACAATAATGAGCAAAACAGACAACACTGCTGCTCCCATCCACCTTCCAGTCTGATGGGAAGACAATCGGATAATCACAAAATATACATTTTAAAAAATGTGACCAGTTCCATGAAGGAAAAGTGCAGGGTGCTCTGAGGACTCATGGCAGGGACTGAATGCGGAATGGTGGCAAGGAAGGAATGTCTTATTTAGGAGACTTTGGGGAGGTACACAGAAAGTTTCTGAGCAAGATGGGAAAAGGATGTCAGTGTCCCTTTTGGAATATTAAAATGGCAACAGGCAAAGAATGGATTGGAGTACCAACACTTTGCTACAAGAGGTAGAGACGTAGGGGAGGCCACTGCCTGACCCTGCACCAGAGGTGATGAGAGCGTTGACCCTGAAAGAGGAAGGAAGGGATTGGGGGAGACCCAAGGCAACAGGTACAGAATTGGAAACTGATGGGGTGTGGATAGGAAATAACAAAGGATTACAGTCTAACCCTAGGAATTTACATGACAAAGAAATGATGCCCAAAGAGCAGGAATTGAATTCAGAGCAGTCATGCAGTTTTCTGTCTCTGAGCATATGAGTCATGAGCAGGGAGGAACTGAGTCCAAAGTCCTGGCCACATCAAGGGTCAGATAAAGTGTGGACTCTGCCCACAAGCAGATGTTAATGGGCTGACAGTGGGATGAGTCCACTGGCTTCTCTGAATCCAAAAAAAAAAGTGATTTTACTAACTAATCAACAACATGAGATTTTTCAAACGGATTTGGATGTTTTTCCTAAGATTAAAAAATGTGAAATTATTTCTGAGGAAAAGTTTATATAAGGTTCCTATAAATTTCCTGGATTCAAAATTCCTTCTCCAGCCCTGTGTCCATGTCCTGAAAACCCCTGATGATGCTTCGTCCTCTATCCCTAGGGCATATCCCACATCCAACAATCCTTGCCTGGCTGCCTCCTTGCGTCAGCTCCAAGCAACACAGCTAATTGGCTCCAAGTAGGCAGGCATCAGTTCTGAGGCAGAGCTTTTCCAGCCAGCTTTCCCCCACCCCCCTCCCCTGCCCTCACCCTCCAGCACTCCTGGCCTAGCCAGCGAGGGGAACCCCAGCTCCATTCAAACTGCAAATGCTCCAGCTTTGGTTAAACTATGACTTCCTTTTGGGGGTCCTCGTTCCCTTTTTTCTTTAACCAAATGGGTTACAAGTTTCTGACTCTTGGAACTCGACAGATCTCACTAATCCAGCAGGCTTGGAAAGCAAGCACACGAACACAAGGACATGGAAAAACACCCAGTGTTTACACACATGTGCACACCCACGTGACTCAGCCTCACTTCACCTCTATTTCCACATCACATGAGGAAAAGAAAGATTTAAGAGGAGAGAGGGACATTGTCTTACTTGACCCATGGACACAAACCATTAAGTCTACTCCTAATAATTCTTGATCACTATGGGTAACACTTTTCCAACAAGTTCCCCACCCTTACACATCCCTGTGGAGGAATGTGATATTCCATAGAAAGTAAAGTGTCCCAAGAATAATGTCCCCATAAGTAACTTTCATTTATTTACAAAAGGGGCTTGAACATGCATGGTGAACAAATTTAAAACTGTCAATCATTCCTCTAACAAGACTTTTGTGTTAGTGACAAATAATTAAGAGCTGAAGCCAGAGAGCTATATATAGTTTTCAAGAAATCCCTTCAGTCTTTCTAGAGGGCACCTTGCAATTCATATTCCATTGGGATCATTTAAAGCCAATCATTCTCCTGATGAATGGTCACTTTCAGATTCCTACAAAATCAAAAGAAACTTTTTTTACCTCCACTACAATCAGCTCTTATAAGATAAGATGTATGGATAGAGAAAGGATGAAGGATTCCAAACTGAATCAGATATCTCACAAATGCTGACAAGTCAAAACTGTGCTGTGGGGATTCCTGGGCCCATAAATAGTCAATGTTTCCACATCAACTAATTCAAATGGAACATAAAATTCAAGAGATGGCACAGAGTAGTAGCTGAAAGCACAGATTGTGGAGCCAGACTGCCTGGATTTGAATACTGGCTCTGTGGCTTAATAGCTGTGTGACTTTTGGGCAAGTTACTTAATGTTTCTGTGCTTCAATTTCACCATCAATAAAAGGGTAAGAATATTAAGTGGAACCGTATGAAAGAGCCATTTTTGTTGGTCAAAAAACTGGTTGGATACTGACAAGTTAATGTGGTTCCATTTAAGTGCCTACCATTTAGGACTGTTATGAAAATTAAATGTGCTTATTTATGTAAAGTACTTAGAACACTAACTGGCATAAAATGGGCACCATATTCATACTGGTTTAATTTTTTAAATTTGTTTTTGAGAGAGAGAGAGACAGAGTGTGAGCAGGAGAGGAGCAGAGTCAGAGAGGAAGACACAAAATCTGAAGCAGGCTCCAGACTATGAGCTGTTGGCACAGAGCTGAGTGTGGGGCTGGAACCCACGGACTGCGAGATCATGACCTGAGCCGAAGTTGGACACTTAACTGACTGAGCCACCCAGGCACCCCATCCTGATTTAAAAGGAATGAGTAAAAGAATGAATTACTGATAGATGATTGGATAGATGTATATGAATAAATAAACAAAACTGGCTGATAAACATTATGTAGTGATAGTTATCAAAATGCTTAACACTAGTCAGAACTTAGATGTAATGAATGCAAGGCTGATAGAAGCTTGTTTGTTTCTTATAAAGGATACAGATTTATATGCACATGTTCCCAACTGGACTTTTGTTAATTTTTGTAACTGCTCTAATTTCTAGCACAGTATGTGGAATGGAATTTTTAAAAAATCAACAAATTGTTTATTTAATGAACAAATGACCAATTAAATGAATGACTGCATACACACATGCCAAGGTTGTTTTCAGGCCTGACTGGTCCTGTTTCAGAGTCCCAAGGGCAATTTTTAGCTTCCAAGCACATAAGAATCAGCTCAAGTTCTGACAGCCAGCCAGACCCACTTCCTTCTGAGTGTTAACTTTCTTAATCAGATAAACTAAGCCTAGAGGCATCAGCAAAAGATATCTATCAATCAGTGTCACTGGTTCAAATATGTTAACAAGCTGCATGAGGACCAGCCTAGGCTCCCTAAAGTTAGTGAGAAGCCACAGCACAGTTTAATTATTGGAGAGATATGGTCTACAAGACCACAATGTCAGGCCCATCTCTCACAGTGACGCCAGACACCCAATTTCTCAGACACAGATGATCACACCCTTAAATTCATAATGAGCCAAGGCTGGGGACCACACGAAGATGAAAAAAAAAAAAATTCTTACAACAAAGGACAAAAGAGCCAAGACTTACCAGGAGGCAGTGGTAAAAACAAACTCCTGGTAGCTTCCAGAATCCTGGTCATGATGTAAAACACTGTAAATTCAGCTGCACTGGCCCGCCCACTGCTGGGAAAAACAACAGAACCATGGTCAGCCAATGGGTTCATCTCTAAAACCCCATTTGTAGGGGCACCTGGGTGGCTCAGTCAGTTAAGCCTCTGATTCCTGATTTAAGCGGAGATCATGATCTCATGGAGTGTGAAATGGAGGCCCAAGTTGGGCTCTGTGCTGACAGTGTGGAGCCTGCTTCGGGTTCTCTCCTTCCTTCTCTCTCTGCTCCTTCTCCTCTCATGTTCTCTCTCTCTCTCTCAAAATAAACATTTTAAAAAACCCTGTTTTTCTTTCTTTTTTTTTTTTTAAATGTTTTATTTATTTCTAGGAGAGAGAGAGAGAGACAGCGTGAGCAGGGGAGGGTCAGAGAGAGAGGGAGTCACAGACTGAAACAGGCTCCAGGCTCTGAGCTGGCAGTCAGCACAGAGCCTGACGCGGGGCTCGAACCCACAAACCGTGAGATCATGACCTAAGCGAAAGTCGGACGCTTAACCGACTAAGCCACCCAGGCGCCCCAAAAAAACCCTGTTTTTCTAAGCAGTGGCTCTGAATACCGAATAGAGATGGAATTCATGCTAATCGTGAAAGGCTAGGCTCTGCTGAAAGCCTCATACATATGATGGTGACCATCTGTCTAATGCCTAGAATCTAACCAGACAGAAGACACATAAATAACAAATTGTATTAATTGAAATTCTCCCTCCTAGCAGTCCTGAGTTCACACGTCCCTCCCTCCTCATCAACCGCATGCCAGGGAATGAGGATGAGGAAGTAACAGGGCCATTCCTTGAATACTGAGTATAGAACTAAGATAGACAGTGTCAGGGCTGGTGACAACTGCTGTCAATTGTTAACATCCAAAAAAGCTTCGTCCAAACAGGCAGCAATGAGGGTTGTTTTAGCTCTTTGTACACCTTGATAAAAGAGAGCGAAAAATACTTGCGTACAAGCGGAGAACGCAGGGGTGAAGATTATGTTTCCTCCAACTGGTTTCCAGTATTTGGCAGATGAGATCCAGCTGGAGGATAAAGACAGCCTTTTAGCCTTTGCCCGTACCCTCTCCTCCCTCAGGGGTCCCTACAGCTAGCTCTCCACAGGCCTGATGGGCACGTTCAGGACAGCTGGCATGTAGCCTGTGCCCGGACACAGAACCAGGCTTTCTGCAGTCAGTTCTGAGGCCCTGGAATCCAAAATGGAAAGACTGAAAATGTGCACCAGCGTCTAACAGAGACCCTTCTGTCTATGCAGGCAGTGGCCCAGCTGAGCTTCCCCAGCCTGGTTAACAGGCCCTCAATCGTAGGCCGTCTGCCATCAGTGAAGGTCAAGTCCAAGTGGATTTGCTCTAGGCCTGTTACATGACAAAGGTCAGCAGCTGACAGTGAAAAGAAAGGAGACGCAGAAGAGAATGGAGGTCTTGAACATTGACTCCGTAGAGTAAGACTGCTTTCAAGTCCAGGTCATCCATTTGGCCAATTTGTCAGCAACAGAGCAGTCTCCATGGGGCTGTAGCCAGCCCCGAATCCATGCACAGCTAGTGTAGGCTTAAGGATGGGGGGCAAATCAGAAAGGATCTCCATACAGACACAGGCAAAAATAGTTTATTCTCAGTGACAGAGATTCTCAGGTTCTCTTTGGCTGAAATCAAGTAAGATAACTCATAAGCAATATAGTCTGGTTCTGCAGCAATGTCCTCCATTTGTTTTAGAAAGCCTGGTCAGCCACTCTCCTAAGAGGACTGGGAGACAAGGCTGCTTGCTTCTGGGCAGGAGCAGGTGGATTTGGCCTCAGTCACTGACTGCCAAGTCAGAAAGTCATGGGTACTGAGTTTTCTGAGGCTGCAGCCCTACCACTTCTGGTCCTATTGGATCTAGAGGTTGTTAACACAAACTGCTGTTAAAAGGTTTATGTGATTGGGGTGCCTGGATGGCTCAGTCGGTTAAGCGTCTGACTTCGGCTCAGGTCATGATCTCACAGTTGTGGGTTCGAGCCCCGCGTCGGGCTCTGTGCTGACAGCTAGCTCAGAGCCCAGAGCCTGTTTCGGATTCTGTGTCTCCCTCTCTCTCTGACCCTCCCTGTTCATGCTATGTCTCTCTCTCTCCCTCTCTCAGAAATAAATAAAACATTTAAAAAAAAAAAGGGTTTATGTGATTAACTGCAAGGAAGCATGATGCTGGAACAAAAGCCTTTAACACTTTGGAAGGTGAAACTTAAAGTCAACAGAAAGAAAGATGACAGACGGATATGTTAAATAGTTGTGTTATTAAAGGACAAAGAAAGCAAGTTAGTATAAGCATGGGAATATCAAGAACACATTCATAAATTGAGCTTCTTAGTATAGTTTTACGACAAATATTATTGTTTAAAAAAGCTTCAATGCCAGGGCACCAGAGCAGCTCAGTTGGTTAAGTGTCTGACTCTTGATTTCAGCTCAGGTCATGATCTCCCGGTTTGTGAGTGCAAGCCCTGCATGGGGCTTTGCATTCAAAGTGTGGCGCCTGCTTGGGATTCTCTTTCTCTCTCTCCCTCTCTGCTCCTCCCCTGCTTGTGCTCTCCCTCTCTTTCAAAATAAACAAACAAACTTTGGGGGGAAAAAAAGAATAAAGTTTCAATGCCCTGCTTGTAAATATCAATATATGAGGATACCAACCTCTTCTAATGTATTAAAAACTGTGAAATTCAAGGATATTATTTAAAAACAGACAGTAATGAGTACAATAAAGGCATAAAACTTTAAAATTAAATAAGAAATTCAATCAGGACTGTATCTAATACATATGTAAACATATATGTTCACACACTGGTTATTTGCATACTGGTCTTACCCAAACTTGGAGAAATGAAGTGTTCTTTCTCTTTATGTGAATTTAAGTACTTCAAGAAACTGGTTTACTACATTAGCTCTAGGTTGTTAGTAGGGTCATGCCTCAACTCCATACATTTTCTGAGACTCAAGACTGCCTCAAAATTCAAACTAATCATATAATTTCTATTTACACATGGACTGGTGTTATTAATTTGGATCACACAATCTCAGTGAGTGACTACTGGCTACTGGATAGATGAGCTCCCAATTCTACCAGTAGACTCTAATGTGGGAGTATTTATACAACTGAGCTAGAATCTGGCTTAACTGGGCTGTTTGGTGCTCATTAAGAATTTAAGTTCAAGTTCTCTCATGTCTTCATAAACCTCCATGTACAGAAATCATTATCTATGGTTTAATAAGGAGCTAGAAGATGCCAAGATGACATGAGAACATTTGGCAACCATGCCAAGTTCATTACCATTCTATGCTTCCATGAACATAAAAATCACCCTTTGAAGGGACTATAATAAACTACTTTCCTAACATTGCTTTTTTTTATTCTTTTTTCCCTTTCTTCAATCTCTAGCACAAAATATGCTGGTTTGAGGACAGGAAATCTGCAAAAACCTCATCTGAAAAACTGAACCATATACCAGGAGCTACATACTGGGGCGGGGGCGGGGGGGCATGGTTGGGGCAGCAGAATAGGGAAGAAAAAAGCAAAACCAACCAGTTTTGAAACGTAGTCCAGAACCATCTGTTCAATTTTCTTCTTTTCTACACCCTGTAGGTGTCTCAGAAGATGGTCTTTTAGCTCAGACACCATCTGAAAACAGGATACAGATTAGATAAGTCACAACCTGCCCACTCACACCTGCTGCTGGTTTAAACTAGATACATTTATTAACACTCTTTACCAGTATGAAAAATAATGAGTCTGAAGATCCCACCAACAGAAATGTACAACCCACAGTGTTACTTCAATGGACATAAATCAAGGGCACCAACGTTCTCTTCAAGAGGAACGGCTGATGATTCCCCCAGAGCTCAGTGAGCAGCCAAGAATCAGATTCCCAGCCTTAACAAGAATTCTCCAAGGAAACAGGGCAAAGCCATTAACTTAGAAGTCAAAGGCTTTGGGATGTACCAGATGGTTGAAGTCTACTGCTCCCAGCCCTGGAGAACTAACAGGAACTACTCTAACCATAGAGCAACTGGGGGTTTGAGGAGGGGAAGCATGGTCTGGGGAAGGACAGAGGTAGGAGTAAAAAGGAAATGTATCAGGTACCTCCCTCTACCGTGGTTATAGACACTGGATGAAGCCCCTATATGGAAAAGTAATGATATTGATTCTATTGCCTCCAAACAGGCTTGCATACCTTCTCTGTTCTGATCATTCCTGGAACTCACCAATCAGTGTGGGATCCTAGCCCTCTCCACCTTTTGCTTTTCTGCCTCCTCCCTTTCTTTCCCCCCTCCCTTCTGCCTATGCCCTACTCTGCTAGAGGCCCTCCTGGCTAGAGAGATCTTTGCATGAATAAACACCATGGGCATCGTACAATTGACATCATATGTGCACATATCTTCTATTTTATCAGTTTTACATATATAGCACCCTAAGCAAAACTTAGCTCGTGGCATTCTGGGCCATGTGTTCATCAATTAGGCTTAAATATTTAAAAAAAAAAAAAAAGTTTAATGTTCTATTTTTGAGAGATAAACAGAACATGAGCAGGGGAGAGACAGAGAGAGAGGGAGACACAAAATCTGATGCAGGCTCCAGGCTCCAAGCTGTCAGCACAGAGCCTGATGCGGGGCTTGAACTCATGAACTGTTGAGATCACGACCTAAGTGAAGCTGGATGCTTAACCAGCTGAGCCACCCAGGCACCCCTAGGCTTAACTTTTTTTGATTTATGGCTACTGCATGCTTTTTTGTGCTTTTCAATTTTTCTATAATAACCATAAAGATGAAAATTTAAATCACCCATAATCCTATCATTTATGTTAACATTTTGAACTTTTTACTTTCCTTTTCTCCAGTGTGCGCACTCATTCTGATGTTTTCTAATTTGCTTTTTATCATATAATAGTTTATGTCATTAAGTATTCTTAACCACACTGGTTGTGATGGCTGCACAGTATTCAATTTTAGGAGAGTACTAGAATTATCTACTCCCTTCTGACACATTATGAGATGCTTCTTATGCAATTGTTAATGGTACTAAAAAAATCCTCATACAATATTTTTTGCCATATCCCCAATTATTTTCTCAGGCTAAATTCCTAGAAATGGAATTTGTTGGATCATGTACTTAAGGTCTGTACAGACACTGCCAAAATGCCTTCCACTGTGGTTATACTAATTTGCAGCCATGTTGCATGTGAATGCTCCATTTCCCAGAGGCTGAACTCTGCTAGAGTGATTTTTAAATTTTTGACAATTTGATAGGGACACACAACACACACACACACACACACACACACACTGTTATATGTTAGATCCCCTAACCTATCTGACATTTTTGTTGGTTTATGCTACAAAGGTAGTGGTATTTGGGATAGAAGGGCTCCAACTGTCTTTTCGAAACAGCCAGCCATTGATGGAAAATTCTTTCTTTCCACGGTGATTTTTAAATGCTTCATTTATCATACACTAAAGATTCAAATTAAAACTAGAGTCTCCTGATGGTCTATTTTGTACAAGCACCACATTGCTTCAATTATCGTAGATCAACAACAGACTTAGCTCTCTGGTGATGCTAGTTCCCGTCCTCTTTGTCAAGTGAGTCACTTGGTCAACTGTCAGAGAAATTTCATTGGCTTTTTAGTTTTAATTTTATTAAATCTAGATGCTAAGGATTTGGAAATGGAATAATGTTTTTCATTTACTTTTCTAACTGGTTAATCCTAATAAAAAAGAAAATAAATTTAGAATCACCAGCTTATTAACTTTTTCCTTATTCTTTTCCATTTCCTTAGTTGATTATTTTGTTCATTTGTTGCACTGGATAATCATAGCATGTACTTTTACTTTTGTTTCTAATTGCACTGTATAGAATTTCCAGAACAATATAAAATTTTAGTGAAAATAGCAAGGATCCTTAACTTTCCTCTGATTTTAACAGGAATGCTCCCAACATTCCATTAAGAAGGATGTTCGCTATCAGTATTAGAATTTTTTTTTTGTCTTATGAATTGATGTATTCCAGAAGTGGGATTTTACTTTTGTCAATTTTAAGCACCGACAGAGATTATCTTTTTCCCCCTCTTTGAACTAGTGATATGATGAATTACATTAATATATTTGCTAATATTAAGCCTGCTGTATTTTTCAAATGGACCACTGGAAAATATTTGAATTAAGCTTGTGGTATCTATGTTCATAAGTAAAAGTAGCCACTGTTAGATTTTGGTTTTAAGGTTATGCTAGCTTTCTAAAGTGACTGAGAAGCTTCCCATGTTTTTTATTTTCCCTCCAAAAATAATTTACATAGCATGGGGATGATCTAGATCCCTAACAGTTCGAAAGAACTGGCTCATTAAATAATTTGGTGACATTTTTGGAGATAATCTTTGACAAATTTTTCAAATTATTTATGGTTATTGTGCTTTCAAGGACTTCTACTCCTTTTTGGCTCAAGTTTGGTATATCTATTTATTAAGGTAAATTTAACTGGAATTTTAAAATGTGTGAATGTATATTTACATGTTTTTCTCATATTTTAAAATTTTCCATAATTTAAGGTAATGGACTTCCCATTCCTAAGCCTGTACAATATTAAAAATATTTTATTAAACTTTTCAGATGTCTCTTTAATCAGTTTTTAAAACATATTTTGGATTTATTTACCAATCTTCTTTTCCATGAATTATTTCTCTTTGGTCTTCCTAGTAGTAGGACTTCTTGAGAAAGAATACTTTATTCTGTTGTGTTTTAAACCCCAAATACAAATGCCACAGAGATATAGTTCTTTCCTTGTTTTAAACACTCAATGGTGTACATTTCCTTTAATTATATATTTGGGGGTGATTGATTTATGTATGTCTCCCCCACTAGAATATAAATTCTAAAAGTGCAGGGACACCTGAGTGGCTCAGTCAGTTAAGCGTCTGACTCTAGATTTCCACTCAGGTCACGATCTCCTGGTTCATGGGATAGAGCCCTGCATTGGGGTCTGTGCTAACAGTGTGGATCCTGCTTAGGATTCTCTCTTTGCACACACCCCACCACTTCCTTTCTCTCTCTCTCTCTCTCTCTCTCTCTCTCTCTCAAAGTAAATAAATAAACCTTAAAAAACCTTTAAAAGTGCAGAAATCTTATCTGTGTTGCTTACCACTGACCACACAGGGCCTAGAGGGCTGATAACAGCTATATGTTAAAGGAATGAATGAATGAATGAAACATAAGGTTAGCATGAGAAGTACAATCTAGCCCTTTCCCCTTTCCTTGAAGCCTATCATCCCCCAGCACCCAAACAGCCCACAGACCACTTACCAGACCGATAAGCAGCCTCTGGTTGTGGTCCTCCTCCTGGAAGAGGGGTGTTAATCTTGGCTCTGAAATTAAACAGAGCAGTAGTCAAGCAGGGTGTTTTCAGGAAATGGGCTAAAAGAAGGGAAATCAGCCTGGGTTTCCCTTCTCTGACTTATTGGGAAAATAGAACACTTGCAGATAGGATGAAAATTTTCATTCGATGTGTGACTATTCCTGCAAGCTGAACTTATCACTCAGGTGATACGCAGCTCTATTCTAACAGAAGTAGAGACTAGGAAAGAAAGAAAATGGGGACCACATTTCCCAACACCAACAGGCTCTGGCTTTGATTCCTCTTCTGCATGAACAGCCACTACGAACCTCTGCTTTACTAGAGTCAGGGAGGCTTGGGCCCTCTCTTAATGCCAAGGAGGGCATAACTCAGGGACAGGGACTTGGTGGAAGGATCACATGACTCCTTCGTTGTGACCCTTTGTAGTTTAGTGACTTTGGGAGTCACAAGAATGAGGGAACCTGTCAATTACTGCATCAAATAATATCAACTGACACAAGTTATCCAACTAACAAGGTAACCAGACCAAGATGGAAAACGGACAGGGAAGGGGCAGGCAAGCATAGTCTCATTGGAAGCTGTGCCCTCGCACTCCTCTAACGGCACTGTGGTCCCCCACTCCTCCTCTCCTGCGGCACCTGAGCCACGGCACCTGTCAAGAGAGCAGAACTGCCCTGGTCAGCGCACTGATGACCCTATGTGGGACGGCACAGACACCTCTTGACCCCTTTGGATAAATTCTACCAGATCCTACACGACCTTCCTGACTTAGATGAAGTCATTCAAAACCTGACGCCAGCAGTCCTGAATTTCACACAGATTGTTCTATTTCTTTTAGTGATGACATTCTTCCTAGAAATCTAGTATGAACTAAGCACGTGAGAGGAAGGGACAAGTTCGTAATGTACCCTCAGAGAGGATACTGGTCACAGGATGCAAACAGGCCAGGAGTACAGGGACAGGAATGACGGATACAACAAAATCCTGAACAACCAGCAACACTTCCCATGTTGCAATATGCCTAGCGGTACACGGAGGATGAGTATGAATCACACACATCCACACCCTGGCTGCTAGGCAGGGCTGTGGCTAGTGGTAGAACCCCTGGCTTCAGGCGGGGATGGCCTGGTAACACAGGCCGAGGATGCTTCCCTCGGGGCTGTTCAGTGAGCACAGGCTCTGAAGGCCTGGGCTGGATGACAAGTTCACTGTCACGGTTCACATGGGCTGTGCACACAGCTGCAGGATGTACCACAACACACTATCTACAATAATTTCCGTTAGGTCACCCAATATGTACCTAAACATCCAGGCCTATAAAACCACAGTGGGATATAAAAATAACAGCTTTTTAAATGGAGGCTGGTCTTTGTGAGGCATGAAAGAGCTCCAGGGGCAAAACCCTGAAAACTTATACCTGGATACACTTAGCATTCTCTTCCCCCAGTTTCACCTGGAGAAACACCCTTGATTATCAAGACTTACCTCAGACGTTGCTCCCTCTAGGAAGGCTTTTCTAACCTGGCTCTCTTCCCCAACTGTCCCCACTCCTGACCAACTCCCTCCCCCACTATGGTTCTATAACACCTGTCACCTAGTATACAAACTGTGTTAGCATCTCTTCCTCACACATTCATGACAAAGCAGCCACCTTAGGTTGCACCAAGCGCTGTACGAGGCTCTACACACATCACCCCATTTACCCTCCGTTTCTCCTCACCTTACCCTGAAAAGGATAATGCACAAAATGAATAAACGGCTTGCCCAGGAGCACACTGAGAGCACTGTGGATGAACTGGAAGTCAAGCCAAGTTCTGTCTGGGTCCAAGCCCATGCTCTTCCCCCATAACCACACAGCTCACCCAGAGACTCCTCATCTTTATACCACTATGACCTAGCCTAGTGAATGCCAAGTGTTAACCCAAATCACAGACTCTCGTATGATCAGCCTGCTGTGAAGATAGCGGCTCTAGGCCAGGGGAACTGCCCAAGTGCATCCTGTGGGTATAGCCACAGGGCATGGTAATCAGATCAAGTCCATGAAGACAAATAATGAAAACCATAGGCCAACACGGAGGGACTCATCCAGCAAAAATACATCCAGCAGCTGTCCCTGAAGGTCCTGGTGCCAACACAGACATGGAAGGAGCTGGGTGGTCACTCTAACAGGAAGATATTCAGGGCACTGCCTTCATTACACTATTGGGTGTGATTTTCTCGCCAACTCACAGTGGTAGGAAAGACAGTGTTACAAACCAAATACTGACTGACATCCAGAAGGCTTTATTATATTATAGGTCTTTTCTTACCAAAATTCCTTGCTTCTAGGTTAGAAATCACCCTACAAAGAAATTAGCCAATGTTATTCACATATAAAGATAAAAAAACAAAAAGCCACAATACCATACAAAGATATCCTCCATAAAACCACTGCCGAAACTGTTCTCAGGAGGCTGAAAACCTCAAACACTTTAATCAACTTGGCAAAACCCACATTAGGCAATTATAAGATCTCAAAACCCTTTAGTGCAAACAATGACAATAATTTAGAACAATCGTTCGCTCTCGGTTATTGGAAATAATGGGAACAGAAAATAGAACAGGGCTGGAATGGGGCCTATACTTGTAGCACTCCGAGATGACTCACTGAAAATGTGCTTTCAAAATAAGAGCCAGTTCCATCAGTGCACTGACACTTTTTAAAACAAACCTACTGTCTGTACCCACCCCAAAGTGCTCAGTTAGTAAGAGGTTTATCACTTATAATTCATCCATCTTCTCGATACAAGTCTGTAAGATTTAACACATACAATTTTCCCTTACTAACTGTTTAGTACTCCATCACTGAACTCAAGAATAGGGCCCTGGTGGCTGCATTAAGTTGATAGCCTCATTTTGCTGAGGATACTCAACAAAAGTAAGCTACTTCCATGAAAACATCCAAAAAAGTAATTGCAAAAGACAGCCATCTAATAGGTACACTAATCTCTAATTTTACTTACTTTGTTGCATTATCAAGAATATTCCTCACATATACCATGGACCTTCTTCTTCCTGTTTTCTAGAAGGGAGAACATGTCAGAGGTGAGGAAGGTAGAGGTTTTGTGGGTGACATTTTTCACACTATGGACATAATGTAATACAGTCAAGAGCTTCAGAAAAAAAAGAAATATACTTTCCAAGTAACCAAAATACCTAGGTTCTTAAAAATTAGTTTAAAAAACATTTTAGTCTGAAATTCTTACAGGTTTATGGGAAGGTGCAAGTCAACTATACATTATTGTGTTATATACAATAACACCACAATTATACATAATGCTAAAGAGGGCTCTCATTCACTCTTCACCCAGTCTCCCCCAGTGTCTCTATCTTCTTTAAACAACTATAGTACAATATCAAAATCAGAAAATGGATGTTGGTAGGATGAGGGTATAGTTCTGTGTTGTTTCATCAGATATGCGGGTTCATGTACCACAATGTACCACCACAATCAAGTTACGGAACTGTTCCATCTTCCCAAAGATCTCCCTGTGCTGCCCACTTTGTAGTCAGTCCCAGACACTCTTCTTGCACCTAGACCTAATCCCTAGCAACCACTAATTTGGGAAGACCTAGGTTTTTTTAAATCAAATTTTAACTATACAAGTACTGCAAGAGGCCGTGTTAAGACCTGGATGTTAAGCTTACTTGTACTATGAACATGCTGTGTGTGTCCCTTAACCTCTGTGCACTTGATTTTCCCCCTCAAGAGAATACAGAGCAGAGAAGCACTTTGCTCTGTGCACTTTGGTCTTCTGGCAACAATGCAAAAGGGCCTGGCAACTGGGGAGAGACCTGCAAATTTAAGCCAGCCTCAGGACTTAAAGGCATCACCTTATCAAATGCATTATGCTTTTGCTTCTTGGTTTATTTTCATGAGTCCACACAAACCTCTTCTGAGATCAAGTTGTGCCATTCTTTCCTGACCATGCTGTTGTTATAGTGCAAGTGTGGCTTGGAGTACTTAACATATTCCAGGTTGGAGTTCAGTTTTTCCCAGTAGCCCTTAAAACTATGCACCTGTGGGAAACAAAAACATGGGTGAGCTGAGCAGCAGGCCTGTGGCCCAAACTACCTGGCAAGGACTACTGGAACCTTGCTGCAGAGCTGGGCTTGTTTTACTTTCTGAACTTTCATAGGGTAGCATTTCTAAGTCAATTCTTCCCACGGAAGATGGCACTCTCCTCCTGACAGGAATTCTAAAATAGAGAGATCTGGGGTGCCTGGGTGGCTCAGTTGATTAAGCATATGACTCTTGATATGGGCTCAGGTAATAGTAACACATTTTTTAATGGTGAAGGATATACTGACACAAATTGTTTTTATAAAGTTTTAAAATTTAAATTTAGGTATAATTAACATACAGTGCTATATATTAGTTTCAGGAGTGTGACACATGGTTCAAGAATTCCGTACATGACTCAGTGCTCACCATGGTGAGTGTAGTCACCATCTGTTATCAAACAACATTATTACACTCTTATTTACTAGATTCCCTACGCTGTACTGTTCATCTTCGTGACTTACTTCATAACTGGAAGTTTCTACCTCTGAATCCCCTTTATCTAATTCACCCATCTACCCCCCACCCTAGATCCCCTCTAGCAACCACTAGTTTGTTCTCTGTACTTGAGTCTGGGGTTTTTTTGTCTATTTTTAATTTGTTTATTTGTTTTGTTTCTTAAATTTCACATGGAAGTGAAATCATATGATATTTGCCTTTGTCTGACTTATTTCACTTAGCATTATACCCACTAGGTCTATCCATGCTGTTGCAAATGGCAGGATCTCATTCTTTTTCTTAGAACTGGGTAATATTCCGTTGTATACATATACCACTTCTTTATCCACTCATCTATGGATGGACACTTGGGTTGTTTCCATATATTGGCTATTGTAAATAATGCTGCAATAAACATAGGAGTACATATATCTTTTCAAATTAGTATTTCACTTCCTTTGAGTAAATACCCTGTAGCAGAATTATTGGATCATATGGTAATTCTATTTTTAATTTTTTGAGGAACCTCCATACTGTCTTTCTACAGTGGTTGCATCAATTTGCATTCTCACCAAGAGAACATGTAGGTTCATTTTTCTCCATTGCCAACACTTGTTATTTCTTGTATTTTTTATTCTAGCCACTCTGACAGGTGTGAGGTGATATCACATTGTGGTTTTGATATGCATTTTCCTGATGATGAGTGATTGTTGAGCATCTTCCTATGTGTCTGTTGGTCATTTGGATGTCTTCTTTGGAGAAATGTCTATTCAGATTCTCTGTCCATTTTTAAATTGGATTATTTGGTTTTTTTGGTGTTGAGTTGTATCAACTCAATATATGTTTTTTTGGTGTTGAGTTGTATCAACTCAATATATGTCAAAAGACATATATATGTCTTTATATATTTTGGATATTAACCTCTTATTGGACATATTCAATAGATTGCCTTGTTTTGTTTTGTTGATGGTTTCTTTTGCTGCGCAAAACCTTTTTAGTTTGATACAGTCCCAATGGTTTATTTTTGCTTTTGTTTCCCTTGCCTCAGGAGACATATCTGGAAAAATGTTTCTATGGCTGATGTCAAAGTATATACTGACATAAACTGTTTTCTTAAATTAATGAAGATAGATTTATGATACAGTTTCTTGCCAAAATATACATGCTTATAAGAGAAATGACTAGGGCCAAAGGGGCAATGTGTAGCCATAAAATAAAGTGAGCTAATGACTAGTGTGGTGACAGACTTGGCTGCATTGTGAGAAAAAAAATGAGAACTTAAATAAAATATGCCTCAACCAAGAAAAATGCCCTTACATTAAATAATAGCACATTATCCAATTTCTTATTGGAAGGACAGTCACTATTGGTTCAAAATGAATTTTGGAGTATCAGTAAATTATATAATAATATTAACTTGCTGTTTTAGAAGCCTGAACGGCCCGTCTGGCCAACATCCCTTCTCACAGAGACAAGAAAAACTACATTCAGTAAAAGGTCATTTCTAGGGGAAACTGGAACACCGGTCAGGTCACACCACCAACTTGACCTACCTCACTCACCTTTTCTTCCACTTTCAATTTATTTATAATTAATGTACCTTTATCCACCCGTTGGTCTTCCTTCTATTGAAAACAATCATAATGAACGCAAATCCTGCCAACATTTGGCAGTATTAAGTCCATGACAGGAAGTCGGTACAGCTTGCTTGCTATTCTACCCCGGGGTTCAGGCACTCTAGGGCCAAAGCCCAAAATCAAATTGGTGTTGTGGTGACACCTAGTGGTCAGTTAAGATACTAGCTCTGCCTGCTTTGCCACCACAGTCCCACCCCTCTGATCTTGTGAGGAACACGGATGCCCTTTTTTCTATCTGTCATGGGGCCTTGTCCCCTCAAGCCAAACACCACTGTCCTGTCCGAAAACCCCACTCACACACTGTATCTCCTAGGAAAAGTTATCCTCCAAGCTACCTTCCTTCTCCTTCCTTCCCATTAAAAAATCCCTTTTCATGGGGTGCCTGGGTGGCTCTGTTAGTTAAGCACCTGACTTTGGCCTAGGTCATGATCTCACAGTTTATGAGTTTGAGCCCTGCAACAGGCTCTGTGCTGACAGCTCAGAGCTTGGAGCCTGCTTCAGATTTGAGGTCTCCCTCTCTCTAAGCCCCTCCCCTGCTTGCACTCTGTCTCTCAAAAATAAACAAACGTTAAAAAAAATTTTTTTTAATCCCTTTTCTCAGCTGAGAATAAACAGATAAAACAAGTTCATAGATAGGCTTCCAAGGGGGCTATGAACCCACTGATTGTATGTAAAATGGAGTGACTTGTAGGAGCAATTTTCTGGGGACAAGGTCTACCACCTGCACCAGATGTTCAAAGGAATCCGTAACCTAAAATAGTTCAAAACCACTGGGTTAGGAGGAAAAGGATCTAAGTTTTAAAAATAAACAAACAAAAACCACTTCAAATAAGAAACAACTGTTAATCAAAAGTTCCAGAAATATTTTACTTAAACCTGTGGGTCTTTCAAGGTCACTGGGCTGTATGCTATAACATCTGTGAAAACAATTAGTGGCATATGTCACTATATGCTATCTGCAAAGTAAGTGATGTAATTTTTTAAGTTATGAAAATTCTCAGCGATCGCTGTAAATTGGATGGTCTATTTTGAAGCCTGAGTAATAGATAAGACCCAGAGTTTGAAAATAGATTTGAGTATGTAAGACAAGGGGGGAATGTTCCTGATGGGGTATGTAGGGAGTTAGCAAAGAATGAGAGACTAGAATGATCCTGAGTTTAGATCAGAGACAGAGCATTAGAGAAAACAGAGAAAGCAAACAATAGAACTTGGTTCTCTGTAGTGAAGATAGCTGCCTCTAGCATGTGACTCCCAACCTCAGAAAACCCCTGGCTCTCATTCCCTAGACATTTAACTAGTGTGGGGTGTGACCTGAGCTTCCTGAGTTTTAGAAGTTCCCCAGGCAACCCTAGTGCTCAGCCAGAGCAGAGAACCCTGCTTGAGCATGCCCAAGTAATCCCAGTCTCTCACCAAGCCTCACATATTTGCTTCATCTGCACCTCTGGTTTGCAGGCTGATGAAGAACCAGCTGTCTGAAGATTCATGATTGTGTTGTTAAATACTAGGAGATAGGGTCAAAGAGAAGGTCAGTCAATCTAGGGTAGATCACGAATGTCAACGTAACACCAGCATACTCATTAACCCAGAGAACTCAAGCAGCTCCAAGATAAAATTTTATATGCTTTAACACAGAATGGGGGTAAGAGTTAGTGAAAGCTGCACAGTCACATCCTAACAGTCAACCTGGGAGCACAGAACACTACTCCTGGGTCACTCGATGAGCACTTAAGGAACTAGTTGTGAACTCAACACTGTGTTCATCAGGGACAACAGCATCATCACAAAGTAAAGGCCACAACAGCCCAAGAAGCACATTGCAGGCTACTTCAGAAGAGTTCAAAAGCTGTAAAATACACAAAAATACTTTATAAAAAATACTCATGAATTTAGCTACTTCTGGGGGAGATGAAACCAGCAGATCCTCAGAGAAGCCCCAGAAGTATTTTCCTGCACAAGGAAGAGTTTTAAAGTTTGATTTTTTTTTTAAATATTTTTATTTATTTCTAGGAGAGAGAGAGAGACAACGTGAGCAGGGGAGGGTCAGAGAGAGAGGGAGTCACAGATTGAAACAGGCTCCATGCTCTAAAGTTTGATTTTGAAAAAAGGGATATTATCCCAGGTCTGTTCTTGAAAAATAATCTTTTATCTCTTAGGAAGGCATGAAATAATTACTAAAGGAAGCCCATCAAAACTATTAATTGAACAAAAGGACCAAAGGATTACATTAAGGGACTGTTCCCATTTATGATTTGGATTACCAGTTGATTTTAGGAGGAAAAAAAATCCCTGTGGTACTAGGTCATCTGCCAAGTACTGCCAGGGAAAAAAAAAAATCTGCCTTTTATTTCTAAAAGGCCCTCTGGCTTAGGTTCTACATCTGCTGATTAACCATCATCTTCATCTTCTTAGAGGAGAAGAGGCCAACTCAGAGAAGACCTTTAGTCTTCATGCCAGGGCTCAACCTAGCAGAACTATAGCATCAATCCAATTTGTTCAGTGGATACCATCTCAGCATCAACTTCTATTTGCAGCCCAGAGAAACACAGTGATCCATTACCTTTAGCACAGACAGAACATAGAAATACCTATATGTCCATAAACCTAGCAAGGCACCACACGAGGCCAAAATGCTCTAAACAGACCATCTGAATCATAGAGAGGACCAGTGACTGGATCTCCTGAGCCTTTCTGGGAAAGGGGACTGCATGTTGTAAGTGTCAGTTCTCCTATTTCTAAATTAACTTCCTCTTTTTTCTCAACATCTAGAAAAAAGCTATCTCTCTTCTTTGCCCAGCTGGGGCCAAAGCTCTTGGCCATTTTCATGGGCTGCATTTTAATGTAACCACTAAATATGGCTCTGAACTATTCTGTCTCACAATGAG